TGTTACCAAGAAATGCATTCAAATAGCTGATTACTTTGATTCTTGAAGCAGTGTATTATACTGAAATTGTGATTTTTATATTGAGAGGACAGGAATATCTTTGAATTTTGGTTTATTCTAGTGGTGCTTTTCCAGCCACTGAATGCAGGGCATCAAACTGTAGAATATTTCTCTGAAGGGGGTCATATTTTATTTTAAGTTGAATTCTAACATGTCTGAAAGAACTGAAGCTGGAAGTTCCCAAATATGAAGCAGGGATGCATATCCTATATGACAATGTTGTGTTTGAATTTCAAATAAGAATATTCAGTAAGGCAATGTATGTAAAATGCTTAATTTGACAGAGGCCCCTACTTGAGGTCTATTTGTTTAAACACAAGACACATCACCAGATCCAATTTCAATTAGTATCTAAAGTTATATTCAGGCCAATCTAGACTGGAACACAACTTCCCAAATGTCAAGCTGATTTTGTCACATGACCTAAAATTGTTAAAAGATTAATTGCATACCTTCTAGTTGGGCAATTTGTAATGTTTCTGGTCCTGAAAATGTACTAACAGAGCCATCAGGAGAAATGAAGTAGATGTGCACATTTTCTTGGACATAAATTAGCTGTACAGTTTCTGGTCCTAATTCAACTTCCAGTTCTTGTAGTGCTGCACTCAAATCATGGTAAGTCAATAGAGGCTGTGAAGATGCCCCACCAGTGGGAGATCTTGGGCATGTCATTGCTTCTTCATAACATGGTGGTGGAACCACAGGTGGGCCTGGTGTTACCTGAACATCTGCAATCCTGCAAAGTACTTCTTTCCTGAAAATAAAATTTAATGTGTACTTCTAGTACTTGGAGAGAAATGTGCCACAGACACTTTGTCCACCAAAGGCACCATATGAACTGCACTGTGAACCATGTATATGCCATAACACCTTAGCTCCCCTGCCTCTTTGGCTCTGGTACATGGGTTACAGGCTTCCAGTTTGATTTCAGCGTGCTCACCACTGGAGCCAAGGTTCGCAGGTTCAATATCAGCCGAGGTCGATGGATTTTTAAGGGTGATAAAAATCCATAGCACAACTTCCTTCGGAGGGGAAATAAAGCCGGCGGTCCCATGTCATAGATTTACAGCATGTAAAAGATCCTTACGAGCATGATACGAGATATTTCGTAAGCAATATTCGGCGGTCATTTCTCACCCAAGTCTCTCCTGATCCACTGCTAGATGGCTTTGGCAGTCAAATCAGGATTGAGTACAAAATGTGCAATCAGTGGGCTGGTCACTCGCTACTCATAAATGCACACTTCAAGACCAAGAAACCTCCCACATGGGAGTAGGCCAAGGAACAATATGGGCTGTAGAGCCATTGGATAGATGGAACTGATCAAGACACACATCAGTCAGGACAGCTAGTCTCTGAGGTGGGAGTTGAATCTGGTTTGAACCCAGGACCTCACAAATACAAAGCTGGACTGTTAATCACTCACCTGTGACATTCAGTCTGTATTATATAATACAGGTTGCTGGAGATGGAGGCCTCTAGATATGAAGAGTAACAGTGATTATACTAAAAAAAGCAGTTGTGAAGAGCTGACTAGAGACAGTCCTCCAGCTTGGAGCTTACATACACATCCACATTTCAGTTTTTAGTTACATGCATGAGATATTAAGAAAGGAGGTTATAACAAGGAAGGATTTTCTTACCTAGTTTTCTTCATCTTCTGTAGCATCAAGGAAGTTTTTTCCCAAGTCACATCAGGATATGGAGGACATTCAATGGGAATACTTAGGGCTTTGTCTATCAGCAATAGGCCATTTTCATACTTTGCATATGCCTAAGAAAATCCAAGCAAATAAATTTATACAAAATATTTAGTGTTTTATCTAAACACAGAAGAATAGCATATATTTCAACTAACTGAGCTGCGGTCAGACCCAACACTATAGAATCAAAACAGACAAAATGAGAACAGTGAAAGTATTAAAAGGAATATTATCAAACCTGAGGAATTTATGTAAGAGATGACACAAAACAGATGTGTGACATTCAAGCAATGATACATCACAAGTAGAAAACAACAGGATGTGCACACAAGCCACACAGAAAATAAAATCATTATTACAAACAGGGCTCTGGAAATATGCTCACCCTCTCGCCATGGACAAGTTATAAGACACTTGTGGTACATTTATAAATACTTGTATGAAGCCTGAAAGACTATGGGGGAACAAATGTAGTGTAACAGTTTGTGGGCCTAAGTTGTATTTATAAAGCCCTGACCATGACAACTTGAGATAAATACACCACAGGAACAGCACTTAATACAGACACATAAACATAAAGAAATGATTCTGCCCTGTGATTTGCAAAAACCAAATATAAAGCAAATATTTATTACAAATATAAATTCCATCAACATACTTCACTTTGTTTTCCACCTATTTCTAATTTTATTGCCTCATCAATCATAAAGTAAGCTTCATCATGATTCTTCTTAAGCTCTGAATACAAATGTGACAAACTGCTTGTACTGTCAGCCATTACTGCAATTCTGAAATAATTAAAAACAGAACCATGAAATAAAAAAATATCTACTTCAAAATACAAAGTAAAGCTGGTAAGCAACCATTGTGATCGTGCAAGTGATTTATACCGCACATTTACTTCTACTTGTGAAACATTCTGAGTTCACATCATATTTATATTTTTGAATGTGATGTATTGTCATTGATTTGTCCCATACCATGCTTCCTAGGGTATATGAAATACGTCTATACCTATCTTGTCTATCACTGACAGAGCTTAGTACTCCTGCTTCATACATTGATCATTATTATAAATACAATAAAGAGGAACATAGAAGTTTTACTAGAAGCTAGTAAAAAGGTTCTAGAAATAAATTCAGAAAAAACCAAGTACATATGTTAGTATCCCATCAGCAGACAGGTGGACAAAATCTTATTAGGGTGGCTAATAAATCCTTAAATATTTGGGAACAACAATAACAAACCAAAATGATATTCACAAGGAAATTAGGAGACTAAATTTTGGATATGCTTGCTACTTTTCAGTTCAAAATATTGTCTTCCCATCTGATTTCTAAGAACCGAAAGATTAAAATATACAAAACAATAATTTTGCCTGTTTTTTTGTATGGGTATGAAGCATGGTCTCTCACTCTCAGGGAGGAACATAGATTGCAGGTGTTTGGGAGGATAATTAGGCCTAGGAGAGAGAAGAATGGGGTATGGCAAAAACTGCATAATGATGAGCTTAAAAATTTGTACTCCTCTCCCAGTAATCAGGGCGATTAAGTCAAGAAGAGATGGGCAGGCATGTGGCACACATGGATGGGGAAAGAGGTGTGCACCGGGTAGACTGAGGGGAAGAGACCTAGACGTTGATTGGAGGATAATAATATCAAGCAGGATGTATGGGAGATATCAGTTGACGGCGACTGGATTTTACTGGCCCAGGACAGGGGCAGGTGGCTTTGGTTGATTCAGTGATGAACCTTTGGGTTCCCTAAACCATCTAGTTAGTTAATGTCAAATTACGATATATAGTCCGAGATACTGAAAAAGCATGGTTAAATAGACTGCACAACAAATACACATAACCTAACACCAGACTATACAAAAGATCTGATACTAAACGAATAATATAGTGATTTTGAAATAAACTACAATGCAATAATGTAACCACCAAACCAATTAAAATCTCAGTAACTTAAAATGAGGCAAACATCAGATTAAAACGCCCTTTCAGTGAAATTGCTCTTTACCAACTATAAGACAATAACAAAAGTAAATAATCAACGAGATCGAAAACATAAGATAATCGCAATTACAAGCAACTACGTAAATCGAAGTGCGTTAACAAATTGTCCAATTCCACAATTACTATCACAGATTACTTAATTTCGGTAATGTAGGTGTGAGATTAGTGAAAGTCCACGGATCATAAACATTTTCTTGCTTCCGTAGTGCATTTGCGTCATTGATAATTTGTAATTAGAAAATAATGCAAGTTATAATAACTTAAATTGTTTGTAATGATAATACTTTGAAAAATGGTATTGTCTTCTGCACTTATTATTATGTACGCCACAAGGTCCATATGCAGTAAGAAACCAATTTAAAAGATCATCTCAACGAGCAGACTTACGAATGTATTGTTCCGTGTTATGGACATTGTTTGTGAACGTTGTCAATAATTTGGTTTTTCGTAGTTCTGTAACTTGGTCGTCCTTTGGTAAAGAGGGAGGATTTGTCATTAATACTTCCGGTTGTTTGTCGTTGCTGGAGGTCAATATTCGAAAGGAGTACGTCAAGTTCTGGAGTTCACTTATATTAAGAGTGTGTACAAAATCTTATGAAAATTAAATTTGTATTCTGTTTCAGAATGGATGGATTTGGCGACAGTTTTGACCAGCCAGAGGTAGATCCAGCAGCTGAATTTCTAGCTCGTGAGCACGATCAACTTGCTGGTCTAGAAGATGAATTGCATCCTGTTATTGCCACACCGCCAGTAGAAGGTATTATGTTTGCTATTTTCATTTGGTTTCGTTATTTAGCGTATTTCCATTCCATAATGTCATAAGGAGTTGTCAGGGGAAATTCGGCAGACCGCAAAAGAGCATTTGTAATGCAAGAGAAAATCATAGAATGACAGGTGTTACCGGAAAAGTATTTTGCAGAGATCTGTTTAAGAAAATTAATATTCTGTTTCCTGCTCTCATTGCCGCATTTCATTATATACAAAATGGAGAAAGTCTAAACAGACTGACATGTATAGTATATTTATGTAAATAGGTATAAAAAGTATGCATCTTTATATTCTTATTATTAATTTTAGTATGAGCAACTGATGTTCTTAAGTTTGAGTGTCTAAAGGAAATTAATTTATTTTTAATTACTTGCTCATCACTGGTCTTGAAGTATCTTCTGTAAAGGCCTATTAACAATTTTTTGTTGTTGCTTTATTCTCTTGTATGTTAAAGGAGAATGATTAATGTTTAGTGTTTAATTTGTGCTACTTGTTTTTATTTTTGATGGGTGTTATGGCATGTATATTTGCTTGTTGGTGTGAAATGCAAGATGGCAAAGCAGTGATTTCTGCTCTGCCTGTAGATGGTTCATTCATTCCACAAGGGTCGACCCTTCCTCAGGTCGATCACACAGGCAGCTTTGAGATGATTGATAACTTTGGTCAGCAAGATGGTTTTGAGTCAGAGGGAATAGGTTCTGGTAAGTTCTAAAAATGTTTAAAATACCTTTTATTTTTTATTTTTAAAGAAATGTGTTGTTTCCTGATGTTAATTATTGGTTTGAAGGAGATTTTAATGATATAACCTGTCAGACTAACAGTTTTTTGCCAGGTGATCTAAGCTAAGTTGACTGCACACGCTTACTTTCTCGTCTCCTCTCTAGCACTCATATACTAATGAAAACAAACAATACGACCCTCAAAAGTGGAAAGTGCACTCCCTGCCCAGGCAGATAGTACCAGTTAATGTCAGATGTCATTTTAGGAGGAAACAAACACATGCAGTTTATGAAATTTTCTTTGCAGTGGCACTGAAGTTCCCTGTTTCTGTATGTTTGTTATGAATGCCATGTCTTATTATTGTGGTATTTCATATTTCTTTGTGTTCCCACTTACATAAAGTCTTGTTTTACAAGTTTCTCATACTTCTTTGAAACTGCCTTACCATTGTTACCAAACTTCTTAATTCACAGTTATAAGCTTTATCATGAAATTCTTATCTTCTAATCCATTGTAACACTATTTATCACTAATGGCTATTATGACCATAGGTAATATCCATTGCCAATAAGCACAATCAAATGCTATCCTGTGTATGTATCTCTATAAATCAGATATGATTCATCTTGTCTCCAATTTGATGTGTCTGCTTTGAAATTGCATTAATGTAATTTCCACAAATGATTTATTACTTTCTTCTTTGTTATAGTTTAATAGTTTATTGAAAATTACTAAAGCATACTCAAATTATTTTTGCTTTAAGTGTTGAAGTATTTGGAGTATTAGTGCATGCTTTTTGGTGATGGCATTAAATTGTCATATATATTTTCTGTGTAATTAAAAATTGAATATTTTACCATTGAAGTGACCAATAATAGGAAGGAAGTCCACATTAATGTAAGTTACTGAAATAAACCTTTGATGATTGCATGCAACTGTTTTATATTTGTGTTTGCTTATTGTTGCATTATTTTTATCCAGAGGGTGCCACTCTTGAAGGCAGGGGAGTGAGAGAAACAGAGAGTGGTAAGTCATTCTGGCACTTGTATATCAAATTGTTGTTGCTTTACTGTCTAAAACATTCTCTGTTTTATTACAAAACTGAAATGGATGAAATTATTTATATGTACATGCAGCTGTGCTACAGGAGGAACCGCCAGAAACTCAGCCAAGTAAGTTGCTTTGCAACCGTTGACTACTTAAATTTGTTACTGTTTCATTTTGGCTGCATTCATGAATCCTTTCTTAAACTAAGAAATAGCATGGCAAGAAGAGGTATCCTATAGATGTCTGCAGCTGAGTTATTCTTCACAAGAAAATGGCATCACCGCAGAGTGGTGAACCAGTATGTTTTCTACAGCCATTTTATTACAGCAGAGAGTGGGAACTCTAGTGTACATGAAATGGGCCTCTGCTTATTTTCAAATGATAAATACTGCTACCAGTCATATATCCTGTGTTCTACTTTATTCAGCATAACATTCGTGTCTTCTCACATATATATCAGAACCGAAAACAGTTGTATGTACAGAATTTCTTTGTTGTGATTTTAACTGAAATGAGAGGCAAATGTATATTGCAATCTTGGCAAGATTTATAATTTGTGAAGGACAAGTTCTTCTTGTGAGAGATTCTGAACTGGGAAAGCTCTGGATAGTTCTAATGTAATGATACATTCAATTTTTACATTGTATGTGATCCCTATATGACTCTTATCGCTGCTGTTCTTACGTGTTCAGTGGAAACCATATTTCCATGTTTCCCAATTTAAGGTGACCCTTATTTAGTATTGAATAACATAATCTGTATATTAAATTGTCTCCAAGGTTCTTTGTTTTGAATAAATTCATTGTCCCTCTAGAGGAACACTGAAGGGGAATTTAACTGTATGCAGTATATATTTCTGGAATGCCTTCAAAAGGTAATTTAGAAGATTTGCATCAATTATGAGAATCATCAGCAGTTCATTTGATAAAGCAATGGACAATACTCTGGCTTTTTATTGGTTATAAGAACTGTTAAACCATATAATGCATATTGTTGACTTTAATATTTTTTAAGGATGACTTCACTTACTTTAGTGTTTATCTTCTGAGTTCAGTATATTGCAATGAAACTTAATATATGACATTTAAGCAACATGAATACTATCATTATAAGATTCACATACTTCTGTTCATTCTTAGAGTGCAAGTGATCTTTTCATACATTTTGATCAAATAGATACAAGTGTTACCATGTGTTTTATTACTGTAATGGCCAAAATGAATTTCCACATACATCTTCTGAGTTCTTTAACCAACTTCTGTGAAATTTGATATATTAAATCTGGATTATCATGTTATCTAAGTTTAATTTTCTTTGGTTTATTTTAAATGAAGTTTTATAAGCTCTTTGGCAGATTTTGATGAAACTTAATATATGGAACTTGTATTGTATGTGATTACCATGTAAGAATTTTATTCACTGTAATTTGTTTTAAGGTCCACCTTATTTAAGGCTGTAAGTAGATTTTGGGGTTTAGTTTTCTAAGTATTCTCCAGGAAGAATATATCTTGAATGCATGCTATGACATTGGTAATATTTGTACATAACTTGATGATTTAGAGAAAATTGTTACTATAGTAACAGTACCTATTAAGTGTGTGCGACTGAAAGCATTATGAAACTTCCTATCTCACAGTCATCTATTGTCCACTCTGTTTACTATGCCTTTCATATACATAGACAGTGAATGGATATCTTAAGCAAAATACGTCTCTTTACGCTGTACGTGAATGTTTTCATGGTTACCGATACTTTAGTTTATCACTGTACACTTACCAGGATTGTTTGTCTAATTTCTGTAGAGTTATTTGCATCATCAGCTCCTACAAGATCTGTTACCAGAGAGGAACCTGAGAAGATTAAAAAGTGGCGTGAAGAACAAAAGAAACGATTAGAAGAGAAAGGTAAGATGTACGGTTTGAAAGAAAACTTGTGTTGTAGCTTAGTGCCTTGTGCTGTAACTGCTCCAGAAACATTGCCATCTATCGTTAGTTAATATTGCCAGGAGAGGAAGATTATATCACAAATATATATTTGTTCAAGGAAGTCATGGAAGTATAACCATTGCGTCTTGTGCAGGAAATGCCTTACAATTTTAGGTACATTTAAGTTCAGGTTCTGGTTTTGATTTATTTGTTGACATATGCATGTAACTATTACAGTTGAGTACAGTATAAACTACTTAACCACTCAGTCATTGATCATGTAATTCTGGAAAACAGTTGATTTAAATATCCTGATATCATCAAAAGTTTTGTTTAACGTACTAGACTAGTTACAGAACATTTTTGTTTACATATTATCTTGAAGCAATGAAAGTCCTACTAGTTGGACCTGGCAAGTCTGCTTGTAGAATTTCTACCACTTTAGCCTTTGAAGAGACGTTGTGTGCTTATTTTTTCCAGTCCTGATTGAACAATTATATTTCCATGACTGCCATCAGAGCCATGAGATTGAGAATGACATTTGAGTAGGAGAGGTTATTAGAAGTGCTTCTCACTCCTTATGTTGATATTTCAGATGCAAATGAGGAGAAAAGAAAAGAGGAGTTACGTGAAGGAGCCAAAAAGGAATTGGATGAATGGTATCGCCATCATGAGGAACAAATTTCAAAGACAAAAACAGCAAACAGGTATGGGTTTTCTAGCTCTGAGTTTTAATATATGTAATATAGTACTAATTTTTAGTTGAATAATGTATTTAGACTATTCAAGGATTACTATAAGTAGTGTGCTTTTGTAACACACCTTGTCTATCTTTTCTTGCTACCACAGAGAAGCTGCTAAGTAAGTATGAATGCAGTTAATGTTACTCTAGTCTATAGCATGAGTTGATAAAGAGTAGCTGGGATGCCTGAAGTAATTTAGAGGTTATAAACAAAAGTAACTATGTATGATCAGGTAAGCCTGTATGTAAAGCTGTAGGGTTCCTTCCTCCTGTAGTCTGCTGTTAATGAAGTTTGGATGCACAGTATAATCCAGATTTGGGATTGCCCTGAACAAATTGAAACATATATTAGCTTACATCTGATATATTTATTATTTAACTGTGCTGAAATATATTTTCCACTCTCTAATTATGTGGGGAAAGGCATGACTGTGGATAATACAAACAAGGTTTCACTTTCTTAAATTGGTCCATGAAGTTTGCATGTTTTCCATTGTCTTGGTAGAGTTTCTTGTATCCATTTGTATTTGAAAATTATTTCCTGAAGCAGTTAGCATGGTATTATGCCAGACTTTATTATTTTAAATGAACTTCTCTACTTTCCATTGTTCCCTGGTCTCATTTTGTAATTTTACAACAAACTGGCCTTGTAGTATTAAAAATTGATCTGTAATTCATGCTGA